TTTTACGAACTTACCGTTTCCGATAGTTATTTTGACTTCATCCGGGAGTCTTTACCAGAGGGAGACTTTGTACAAAAGTCAATTGCTTGGGTACCTCTGTCCCATTCGTATTTCAACCGTGAAACAGTTATGTTTGTATGGCTGTGTTTCGGTGAAGGGTGGGATAATGGCAACGCATGGGGGGTATCATGGGCGAAACAGTAGTACTCTGTTATGTCCATGGTACTGCTCATATCTATAGGCGACGGTTACCACTTTCCATCAGGTGGGCCGTCAGCTTGTTTGCCATCCTAAGTTGTATAAAAAAAGTCTTCTTCAGGAGGCATAAAAAAAACCGACGATATTATTTGTTTCGGATGTTAAAAATAACTATTTATTGTTTTATTAGCCGTGTATGAATAAGCGTTGTCGTGAACAACTAACTAGCTAACTAGTGCAAGAAAACGCGGCTTCTTGGTCGTGTTTCTCTGACTTTTTTTAGAACAGTTGGTAAACAAATAATAGTGTATCACTCAACTATTTAACTTAATATTTCTTTGATTTTTAGTTGATTTTGTGCAGACGGTACGAAAAGGAAGAAAATGTCACTGTACTAGGTGTTATCTTGCGGAAGTCTATATCATTGGTTATTTGATTACAATTATTTTGTTTAGTTCCCCTACCATTGGTATGCGAGTGACTATTAATACAGGAAGATTGACCATCAATATTACCGTCCAGCATTTTCATTCGTAGTTTGCACCTAAACCCGTTTTTTTTTAATGAATGATAATGGAATGGTCACCCCACCCGCGCTATCGGTATACACCGGCGGGGCACCATTGAAGGATGATAGGTGAGGATGAAGTAGGTCAGTTAGCCCATCGTGATGAATTCGACAAGAATTGTTCACGATGGTTTCCAGGGTGAACCACGTGGAGGTGGACCTAATAAGGCATATTGCTAACAATAGGGTATCAAACTCCACTGCTAACAATCCCTTTCCCCCCACCTAAACCCGTTGGGGACCCCCAACGGTTAACTCTGAGCAACGATCTTAAATTTGTCTGAATATGCCTCGTTTAAAGGTGAAATACCTATTGCAAAACGTACGGGAACAAAACGGCAGTTGGAGATTAATGGCTAATATGGAAGATTATGGAACTTCTGGTAATGATATTGGTGGTCAATCTTCGAGTGTTGGCAGTCACACACAAACTAATGGTAGCGGAATGAAACAAAATAATTCCAATTAAATCATCGAAGAAAGAAAGGCAATTATTTCTTTCCCACGTTCCATGCCTTCCTCACTTTTCTAGGTCATTTAACATGCATTTAGAATGCTATTTTTTCAGGATCCAAATAATAAATCCACGTTTCGTCTTCTGTAACTATCTCATTAATTGCATTTGAATATCTGTCGTCATATTTAAATAACGTTCATAAGCTACGGTAACCGCTTACCATCAGGTGCTTGATTGCCACCTCAGTGGTATAAAAACATGTTGGATCAGGGGCGCCGGCTTCTAAATAACTTCGTGGGTGCTCATGCTCGTTTGATGACTAGGTACATCATTATTGTTTTAACTGAAAGACGGACACTGCTTGCTGGACAAGCAAACCCAACCTAAACAACAGATAGTGGGATGAGGATTACTTTAGTTATATTATGATGTCTAGCATCATGGATGCTCCGCATCCACATTTACCTCTCTTGGATGTTGGAGCACCCAAGCACCCACGGAGTCTTAACCTCTGTCTTTGAGCACCATTCAACACTAGCTGTTTTTGTTTCGGCATCAGTTCATGAGAGATCCAGTGACAACAAAGTTTCAGAGTATATATATATTTTATATATATATATATATATATATATATATATATATATATATATATATATATATATATTAACCGTATATATATATATATATATATTAGTCTATATATAGGACATCATATATATATATATATATAAATCCCTCCACGTTGTATTTTTTTATACCACTGATGTGGCAAACAAACATACGGCCCACCTGATGGTAAGTGGTTACCGTAGCCTATGAACACCTGCAATACCAGAGGTATTACGCGTGCGTTGCTGACCCCGAAGAAACCTCTTTACCCTCCTTTTGAAGAACCCCATGCTGTAGTCTTTTGGGAAAACCTCGGCATTCCACAACCTGATATTGTATTTCGGTGTGCCATCATCGTACATATGTTGTTTTCCTCTTAAAAGTATTTTAAAGCTAAACGGTACTATCTTGAGGCAAAAGATCGCTTTTCAATCAAAATTATAAAAAAATATTGCTCTAAAATCTTTTCATGTTAATTCCATTTTCATTTCATTCTACGACTTTGTACGATGAAATATGTCTTATGATAAAAAATAATGTCTCCTTTTTGCGCCAGTATTTTTTTCAAATAACTAATAACTAATAATATTTAAAAAAAAATATCATTCGAAATTCAAACAGCTGTTGTAAGGCAGACGTGCATCATATATTTACAACACTTTTAAAATAGAGCTTTTTGCTTGTTTAAAAAAATATATATCAAAATTGAATCAACCAAACGTCGTATTTGATTGAAGCAATTTATTAGGTTTCTAATGTAAATAAACACATTTTTTTGCGCTTACATTGCAAACGCTGGCTGAACCCCACGAGATAAATCAAAATAATGTACTACAGTATTGTACACCTTAAATAGGTCAACAAAGAAGTCCGCGATGGTATATGTCTGTCTTTTAAAGATAACCCACAATAACCATTTTTTATCCTTTACGTTTTACGGGAAAAAATGGCTTATTTACGAAGCAATTTTAAGCAATACAGCATACATTTTTATCCCATTAAGTACCTTAAATACATCGTCCATTTAATATAGATCAATATGGTCCTTTACAGCACGTAATTTAAATGAATATTTCTGAAGATATTACAGATTTAAAATGCAGGGACATAGCGGTGCGGCGGTACTGTATCGCACCCGTGCGAAACTGGGGCGGGTCGCTAGTTAACTATAATAAGATAGTAAAAAAGAAGGGGGTTCTGAATAGTATTTTTTATTTTATTATGTAGTATTATACCAGTTCTAGATATCAATGGCTAAAATGGAAGGTTGTGGAATTTCTGGTAGTAATAGTGGTGATCAATCTTCGTGTGTTGGCAGTCATACACATACTAATGGTAGCGGAATTAAACAAAATAATTCAATTCAAATAACCAGGTGGTCTACCATGAAACGAAATTCTAAATTTTTGGGCTCAATTTCGTGTTTTTGTTAGTACCAAAATCGACCCAGTAAATGGAGCTTAACATTTCGTTTATTATAAATCTTATCCTAATAGTCCAGAGGAATGATATTTTAACATTTTTAATAATTTTAAACGGCATGTATTATGTAATTTTAACATCAAATTTCTGTTTCGTTCGTGCCCGAAATTTCTGAAAATATTTCATGGTAGGCCCTCTGGTCTCATGTTAATCTTTTAACGATAAATTAGGAGTTGTTATGCAATACTGTCTTAAATCACAATTGGTATTTTCTGTGGTGTGTAGATAAGTAAGTTGTGAATTATTTTGTATAGATTAGGTACTCAATATTGCCTAAATTAGATCGTTGTTAAACCCATTTTTTTTTTAATAAAAAAATGTTTTACTCACTGACACAGTACAGGGAGTATTGGATGCTAATTATTTTTATTCCTGATTTTAGTTTCATAATCCGTCATGTTCTCTATAATATATAATTATGAAACTACTTTACGGGCTAATAAAGATGGGTAATATCTGATATCTATATATTGAGCTCTTCTGGACAGTGACGGCCACCCATTGGCGTGAATTTACTGGGTACAGAGGAATAACACCTGAGTCTTTAGGAATGGCAACGCATGGGGGTATCATGGGTGAAACAGTATACTCTGTTATGTCCATGGTACTGCTCATGTCTATAGGCGACGGTTACCACTTTCCATCAGGTGGGCCGTCAGCTCGTTTGCCATTCTAAGTTGTATAAAAAAAATTGCAATGCCGTCCATACCAGTTAGATATCTATATTCATTACGAGCGGTTTTTTTTTTCGATATTATATATTGGATAACCGATATATGTTATTAGGCTAATATATGTATATTGTAACTATAATATATAAATATTGCTGTATATAATATTACCCACTCTTAGGGCTATCTATTCGATACCCACGTATAAACACGAAGTGAATTCAAAATAAATAATTTATATGTCGCAACCAAACGGGATGCAATCGTCCTGTGCCGCGGGGATGGGGTGGCGGTCGGTATCGACCGGGGATTACCGGGGCAGAGCGCGGCCCGGCTGACTTGAGCTCGGAGTGAAATCGTACCCGGATCATTTTTATTCATGAGATGTTACATATTTTAAGTTTGGTTCAAAATTTTTGTTACAACTTTTTTTTACATTTATAGGAAAAAAAAGTAACTATTTCTATAATGTGTATGTATAATATAAGTACAACGGGAATTATATGAACTTACAATGTTTCTCGTTTCCGACATTTGTTTTTCTACTACGTAGTGGGCGTAGGGCGCTTTGCATTACAGCGTTTCGTTTCTCACTGCGGATAAGACTTACGGATGATGTCGAAACAATTGTTGTAAACGACAAACATAGTAAGTTCATAAAATTCCCGTTATACATACATATATAAGACATCTTTAAAAAAATAAATAGACATTTTATTATTAATATTTCCATATTTTTTCTAGAGTCCACAGTACAAGCCTTGCTTTAGCTTGGGTTTAGTGCTGTATAATATGTTACGAGTAGATGGTATTTATTACAATTATTTATCTATTTATTTATAAAAGACACACCAATAATATGCTCACAACAATTAAGCAGACAATGTACAATGTTATAAGTAAGTAAAAGTGAAAAACATCTCACTCCTCACTACCAAGCTTGAGGCCATATGGACACATCAACTAAAGGTGTATACAGCTCTCACAGATAAGCGCCAATGTATACTAAGTAACAATTAAACAATTAGAAGAGACCTAATTACTAATAATCCATATTATTAATAAGCCTAGTAAACTGCACTAAAGAATTAGAATACCAAACAAACTGACTGCCCATCTGATGAAAAAGGTATACCTATAATATCATATCAGCCGTTATCTGTCCACTACTGAACATAAGCTACCCCATAGATTGTCATGAGAAACGGTCCTGAGCTATCTGAGTCCTGAGCATCTATTGGCTCCTTGGAATGCATTTAAGGTCGTCATTTCATTTAGTGGGAATCGCCGCTGAAAAACCTTTCTTCTCCGTCGGTTGTCGATTCTTCGAGCTATGTGACCAATCTATTGCCACTTTAGCTTGTTTATTATTCGGTATGTGTCGGTAACTTTGGTTCTTTTACGGATATCCTCAATTCAGATTCTGTCATGCAAATAAACTCTGAGCATAGCCCTCTCCATAGTTCGCTGAGCTAATTTGAAGCTTTTGCATACAGACAACCATGTATGATCATATTTCAGTTCCATGAGTCGTCACTGGTGTCAAAGTATAATCGTCATCAATTTTTTTATTTCAAATAGTATTACCTATTTTTAATAAAAAAAAAAAAAAATAGGTAGGCTGTTTTCTTAAGAACACAAAAAGGAAATTTGAAAATGTTAGTATTTATAATTATATCAGTATAGATAGGGAATATTATTAAAATAAAATAAAATATAGTATAATAATTTGTGAAATGGAACCACCCGGAGTAAACGTTAGTATGTCATTCCTATACATCAGAACTCCCCATTCATAACAACAAATTATGAATGCGTCACATCACTCCGACCCACTCTCCAGAAGTTTAGGGTTGCCACTTATAATAGATACTTAATACACTTGAACATATTCCTATATCAATATTAATAATTTACGATTTGTTTTAATACAGTAATAATGACTTGCACATTACAAAGCAGTAATTTTACATTATTTTTTTTAAATATGCCTATTTTCTATCTACAAACCAAATTTTGCAAAAAGTGTTAAAGTATCCTTACATCGATCTCTAGCTTCATTCAACTGTGTAATTGGTCATTTATTGTCATTATAGACAATTATATCCTAGATTGCTAAATAAAAATTCTTAAATTGCATTATAATTAAGATTTTGTAATATTCTACCCAAATTATAAAAACCTAGTACCTACATGACTTCTATAAAACTAGATATGTACTTAACTAGATATTTTTACACATCTTATTATTATGCTTTCCTGGGTGAGCGTATTGGGAGACTAAAGCTCATCTAGTTGATCAAATAAATAAATAAATAAAAGAAAAATCCAATTAGTTAATGCAACTTAAAAAATACGACGTCGATAGAGAGAGAGAGTGGCAACCCTAACGTTAAATTTTCTTTTTTTTAGGGTGAACGCGGGTGTTGCGGACAGCCCGTAGTAGTTAGATATTATAATCATTATTGACAGCCCAGGGAATACAGTGACGGGAACTAGAGATTATTATATGACGTTTAAATTTTGTTTGCGTCATAAGCTGATATAAATAACAGTTAAATATATAGTAACCAGAGGGAGACATTTTACAAAAGTCTTCCGCTTTGGGTACCTCTGTCCCATCTGTATTTCTGCAGTTGTATTTGGATGGCTGTATTTATATTTATAAGGTAGGATATGGCAATGAAATTACAGTATATAGAGTCATAATACTTTAGTCCTGGGAGAAAAGGGATTATTAGTAATGAGATCTAACAGGCTGATTACTATGTTATGTATTACTATGTTAGGTACAGATCGACCTCCATACAGGTCTTTCTAGAAATGGTCGTGGCAAATTTCTAATGAATTAATTACGACAGGCTAACTGACCTGCTTTTCGTCATTGGTGTCCTGCCAGCGTAAACCGATAGCGCAGGCGGGGTTACTATTTCATTTTCATTCATTGAAAAAATCGCCTTAGTCCTTAGGAATGGCAAAGGGTGAAGGCTGTCATGGACGACACAGTATACTTTATTAAGTCCATGGTATTGTTTTAGTCTATTGAAGACGGTTACCACTTTCCATCAGGTGGGCTGTCAGTTTTGCCTTTCTAAGTTGCATAATAAATATTTATTTATGAAATTACAATTCTTCTATTATTTTTATTTTTTCCCCCTTTTCCAGCCAGTATTGAAGAATCTAAAAAATGAATAATTAAAACAATTGCAAGGTCAGAACCATGAGGTGAAATATGCATCATAATTTGCTAAGAATTCAGAAGTACATTGATCACCTACATCAATATCATCCTTTCAAAATCTTTCCGTTTGGAGTTAACACAGTTCTTCAGGTAACTTCCATTTTGCTTTTAATTTATTTTTTATACCTGTTATTAACACGTCTATAACATAATTTTTTTTTCACGTAAACACTCATATTTTTTGGAGCATCCTTTCATATAACCTGTGTATCAAATCGACCTCCGCTCCTTCTATTTTCAATTCCTAGATGAAAAAAAATATAATAAAAAAAAATTGTTATTACAACCAAAAATATTTAAAGAGACGACAGTAGTATTGCACCTTGTCATTGCCAGCTTTGATTTTAGTATAAGTACTTACATACATACATGAGCGATGGGCGGCAGTGTCCCTCTTAAAACATAACCAAAGCTTAACTGTGGTTGCCAATCCGCTTGCCAAGCGTGGCAACTACTGGCAACCCCCCTAAGGGGATGCCTATGTTCCGCAGTGAACAGTTAACGGCTGTTATAATGACGATGAAGTAAGACTTAAAAAAAAAAATACAATTATTAATGGAAAGTATTGTTACTTCTAGATTCTTAATATTTAGTAGTATATAAGTGCCTTATTTTAGTCGCTATGTTACACGATTGCGTCGTCAACCTGAGTCGATTTTGATAATTATTTTTTAATCAATACAGTTTACTCATGTTTTGTCGTATATTAATTGTGTACCGATTGAAGCTACTTTTTTATCGCGGAACAAAAAACTGGTTGTTGCTAAGTAAAATCTGCTTGAAAATGCGATTACGCGTTTTAAAGTAAAACTATTTAAAACAAATATATTTATAGATATCTTATCGTTTATAGATAAATTTTATCACGATTTTGATGTTGTTATTTTTTAAGAAGGAAAATGTATATAAGATTAACAAATTAAAAAGAATTCGCTCCCGCGGAGCGCAAGCTCCGGTCCGTAGTTCGACAACATTTAGGCCTAAATAGGCCGTGGAACGCGGCTCGTTCGCTACACGCCTGGTATTAATTACCGTAATTATAGTTTAACTACTATCAGAAATTACATTGTAATTAGTCAATCGACTAATAATGAACCTTGGAAACGTTTTAACGACAGTATTGTTTGTTTCAACAATAGAGTTTAAGCAACATGCCGCTAAGAAATTCTGGTCAATTTTTCTTCTCGCAATAACGCGTTTTTAGTAATGTCATTGAACTGTTGACATATTAAGGTAGATTATAAAGTCTTGTACTTATTGTAATCCTAGAGAACATTTTTTTTTAAATTAATTTATTTGTCATAATATATCGGATATTGTCATATGGTTCCCGCATAGAATGGGTCATTCCTTTCTTTTCTTGGTCTTTCTTTAATGGTCGAGGAATGAGCAGAAGCGTCCATTTTAAATTGTTACCAAAAGCTAACTGCGATTGCCAACTCGCTTGTCAAGCGTGGCAACTATTGGCAAAACGCCCTCTTTATGAGAGAGGCCTATGTTCAGCAGTGGACAGTTAATGGCTGAAATGACGATAATGATGATTGAATATTGTCATCGTATTAGGAAAGTCATAGTTCTACTCCCAATATTGTTTTTTTAAATATAGATTTAGAGGATAGATTTACTAGGAGGTAAGTCTATTATTCGACTATTTGTTAACATTACATCTGATTCCTCTATTTAATTAAGTAATTTATGTAAATTAAATATTTGTCTATAAAAATAATCTGTAATTACGTCTTATTTGCACCAGTAATAGGTAATATGGTATTCTGCCGTCATTAACATCGGATATCTCTAAAGAAACCTTGAGTGTACTCCTCTTGTGGCAGCTAGTTTCCTTTCTAATTTATTCTCTTAACAAATTCGGCGTGTCTCGACGCTTTCTCGCGGGGTCACGTTGCATACTCCACATCCGTTCTCTTCTGAATGCACAATGGGAATGTAGTCGTCTCTTTTATTCCTATTTAACTCGTATATGTTCATCTCTGTCGCACAATCACGCAACATTATCAATTGTGTACGGCTGGCGGCGCGCGCTGTGACCTTGTAGTCGCGCTCTGCTACCTTTGCTGTAAAACTAGGTATAAATAATTACTCAAGATTTAAGGATTATTTTATGACGGTATATTTATATATAGATTCTACTGATAACGTTAATTAGTGCAGTAATTTATTAAAAGTTATCTTGGATGTTATTACTATGAACACTATGGTTAGTTTAGTAAGAATTGATTATGGTATCTACACTATGTAGAGATAAATTACTATAAATATAGCCTATATTATTATTGATTACTAGGTTTTACTTGCGACTTTCTTCGCGTCAACGGCTGTGTGTTCATTAAACGGAATAAAAAGTAGTCTATATCCTTCTTCGTACATTTTACGTACGTTTCTACGTAAATTTTATAAATTAAATTTTATAAGTGATTGGTTAATTTACGCTAAAAGGAAACAAACTCATTTATTTATTTATGTCTGAAACTATCGAATCGCTTAATCAATAAGTGTACCTTTATGACTTTGTTATAAATTTCTTTTATTTATAGTTTAACCACCATTGGGTTTTGTACGAGTGGGTAATATCTGGCAATATCTATATATTGTAGTTAAAATATCTATATATATATATAATCTATATATAATGGGTATATATATATATATATATATATATATATATATATATATATATATATATATATATATATATATATATATATATATATATATATATATATATATATATATATATATACCCATATGGGATTTTACCTATCTCTATATAGTAATACATATACATACTGTCGCCGTGTGTGCCCTGGCATAGAATGGGCTACCCCTTCAACATCACCAAAGCCTAACTGCGGTTGCCAACCCGCCTGTGACAACTACTGGCAAAACCCCCCTTATGGGGAAGGCTTATGTCCAGCAGTGGACAATTAATAGCTGATATGATTTAGTAGTATAATATGTATGTGTATGTTTACATTTGTACGCGAGTTTGTATGTCGATCACAGAGTTAGAACTTAGAAAAATTAATGTTAAATGTTGGATAATTTTCCTAAAATTATAATTATAATTTATATTTATTAGCTTTCTTTCTTTATTCTTTATTATATATTGTAAAAACAAACATAATAGTACAAGGGCGATATATATTATGTATTATACTTGTATTATAGGATTCTTTATCTGTGCATTTATAACTCTAAAATTCGTTTGTGACTCAAACTTTCTGTATCTATTATAGAATTCCTTAATCTTGACTTTACCATTATATTTTTTTTTATTTTTGATCCTACCTTCACAAAATTGTGTGAATCGTCCATTCGAGAGTTAGAAACTTGTCTTATAATGTAATAAGTAAGGTTAGAAGTCGATCGATTTTCTAAAATGTAAATTTGTAAAAATCCTATCATATTAATGGTATAAATATGTAAGTTTGTAACCATGAATGGGTAATGATGGTTGGGTGGACGATAGATTTTTATAGATTATATAGATATATAGATTATGCTGGCGGGGCACCAGTGAGAGAAGATAGATAAGAATGAAAAGGCAGGTCAGTTAGCCCATCATGACGAATACATCTGGAATTCAACACGATGGTTTTCACTTGGAGGTCGACCCTATATTTATTGCTAGCAAGAGGACTGGTAGACCGCTTTATTAACAATCCCTTCCCCCACACAGCTAAGTTATATCCTAACTTAGTACATAGAATACTTAATGTGCTGATTCACGTGGGTGGAGCCACGAGATACAGCCAGTTTGTAATAATTATAACACATATTTACATAGTCTAATACATTCTATTAGTTACGGTTAGTTTAATATTAGTATTTATTTAATATTACATATTTCAAAGCTAAAACTAGTGTATGTGGTGTTGGTGAAAACCCCTTAATTGTCTGTTTTAAAAAAAACAAACATCTCTTCGAAGAGTAAGACTTAAGGATTAATATTAGCGCCTTACTGTCCGACTCGACTCACTAAAACTGCGTAGAGATGTTGCATCTCTGTGCATCTTCTATCGAATTTAACATGGGGAGTGCTCTGAGGAATTGTTCGGATTGATGCCTGCTGCGGATTTTCACCATTGTACAACCCGCCATAAACTAAAATTTCCTCCCAACCATCTGGACGAGTGGCGGTCCTCCACCGTGCGTTTTTCACGGCACTTTCTTCCACGCACAACCACTCTTTGGAATCAATTTCCAGCAGCAGTATTTCCGAACCGACACGACAACATAACCTTCAAGAAAAGAGCATATTCCTTTTTAAAAGGCCGGCAGCGCACCTGCAATGCCGTTAGTGTTGTGGGTGATCGTGGGCGGCGGTAATCACTTACCACCAGGTGAGCCGTATGCTCGTTTGCCCCCTATGTTGTAAAAAAAAAGAAAAAAAAATTAAACAATAATATTTTTTTTGATTAAGTCTGTTTTCTGCCACGCTTTTAAGATCTTAAGATTGTAAGATCTTTTACTATAGTAAATTGAAGTAACAAGAATATAGTCAATGGCAACGAAGTTCTCGGTCCATCTGATGGAAAGTCATAAACATTAGGTACGAGTACCTATAGATATGATCATAACAGAACAAACAGTTATATCTGGTAAATTGAAACTCCTAAGAAATAAGTATATGTAATGCTTCCATACCTCATTTTTTCACTGACATAAAAATAATAATAACAACATCTCAGACGGTTGAGATTTCCAGGTAGGTCTCTTCCGGGAAAGATGTAGAAAACAATGTTCTTGGATGCTGCTCGCATAGTACGCTGGTTCCTCTTCCTGGTGCTCTGAACTCCGGCCAAATATGTACCCGCCGGTGATTAGTTTGCCATCTTCATTAGAGGGGAGATGTGAATTTTGAAAAAGAGGAATAATAATTAGTAGATCTACAAATCGTAACTCAACTATTTAAGTACACCAGAACAGGTACAGAGGTATCCATACAAACAATTTTTATACAAATACTTCATTAACATACATGCTTTCACGCCTGACTGACACTTGACGATAGCTGGATCATTACCAAAGGTTTTTTTTTATACAATTGAGGTGGCAAACAAGCATATAAGCATATATAAACCTGATAAGCGGTTTTCGTAGCCTATGAACTTCTATAGTACCAGGGGCATCACGCGCCCATTGCCAACCCTGAAGAAACCTCCTTACACCTTTTGAGAAACCTCATGTTGTATTTTTTATCAACCATGCTTAAAGGTTATACTTAAGCTTACATATAAATATATTACTTGCAATTATTGTGCGCCGATTTTCAACCATAACTGGACTTAAAAGCAACTACTTTGAATCCAGATTAATATAAATAGTAAATTAAATAAATACCAAAAATGAATAATTTAATAAGTCAATAGATAAATTATTAATTACATTAATTTAAATCCTTAAACGATATGTGTATATGTCATATGAAAAATTTATTGATTAGCTATAAAGTTTTTAATATATACTTTTTTCTTACAGTTATTAGTGGTAATATATTTTTAATGTCAAGTTGTCTGCAAGAAATTGCAATAAATTAAAAATAGTATATGAGTTTGTTTTTAGCGATAAGGTCTTTTGTCATTGCATATTTTGTGACAGTTTGCTTGTTACGTTGAAATAATTTAAAACGA